TCGATGTTTTGTTTACAGTATCGAGTCACTGAGATTTCTTTTCTACTCCTACTTAACCTCTCTTAATTTTTTCGGATTGAAAATTTTGAGTTTTGAACATTGGAACTTGCCTTAGTTTGCAAAATTACTTTTTGAGTTTCTATGCAAAACCGCTTGTGCGGATCCTCTTAGGGTTTTCTAAAATTTTTAGAGTTTTCTGGACAGAAAATCGCTTGAGCAGATTTTGGGTCCTGCTCAAGCAGATTTTGGGTGATTTTTCTAGGCAGTTCTCTAGAGCAATTTGTCCATGGGGCCAAAATTTCCGCTCGTGCGGAATTGAAACTCCTCAAGTAGATTTGGCTCTTCTGTCTTGAAATTTGTGCTATTTTCCTCAAAACTGATGCCAAAAATGTGTTTACACAAAATTTTCACTTCTTTCTCTCTCTCTTCTCTCTCTCTCTCTCTCTCTATATATATATATATATGTATATATTCATCTTTGCTCTCTCTTCTCTCTAAAAACACACCCAAATCCAATTTCTCTCTAAGATCTAGCTCTTCAAGAGTTTGATGGGGCTTTTTATACCAAATCAAAGAGGGCGACAAGGGCTACATTTGTAACCAATTGGATCGTGTTTTCGTCAACTTTGATTTCTAGGATTTTTTTCCTCCTCATCTTCTAAGCTTGAGGTAGGGATATATATATATATATTTTTTAGGTATATATATATATATATATATTTGCAAGTCTATGATTATTTTGATATTGGTTGAAGTGTGTTAAACTAGGTTTAATTTTTATGAGATTGTGTTTTGCTCAAAGAGGGGTTTTTCTCAAATTTGTCTTCAAATCTTTGATTTATGAACTATGAGAATGTTTGGGAGTTTCATGAGTGGAAACTTTTTTTTAAAATGAGGAAACCCTAATTTTGTAAAACCAAAAAAAAAAGAAAAAGAAAAAAGGCTAAGCTTGAGGAAGTTGAGGAAAGAGTAGTATCAATGAAAAATATGAGATGTGTGATTGTTGGGGTTTTAATTATATAAAATCTTTCAAAAAGAGAAACTCTAATTTTCCTAGTGAAAACCTAGATTTTGGAAATTTGAAGAAAAGTTGAGATTTCGTGAAATCATGAATTATTGAGATCTATTTTTTGAGAAATGATGAGAAAGTTGTTATATTTACCCCCTATTGTTGAAATCTCTTGTAGAGAGAAATTGATATTGATAAAATAGTGAATGGTATATTGTTATACTTATCTTGGAAATATGAAGATTGAGAATGATGATTTTCATGTTGAGAATTATTTGATTTTAAAGAGAAAAGAAATGTGTTTGATGATATGCTCTTATCCACCTCTTGGAATATATATTATATACATGTATATTGAGTATATATGTGGAAATTGATCATAATGGAATATTGTGTAGGTGAAATGAGAAAGTATTGAGAAATTTTGAGAAAGTCCAAGGCATCAATATAGATATATGTTGCATTGGCACATGATTTAATTATCATCATCGTTCAAATTTGCATTGTTGAGATGTTTAAATGGAACTTTATTATTGCATTGGACATTTGCATCGCCATTCCATTTTATTATCAATGTAATTGATTTTAAATATTGCATTGGAAAAGTATTACTTTGAGAAAGAAAATTATTTTGTGAAGCAAGATTCATATTGAACCGTTTTGCGATGAATACGGTGGGAAATCTTGTTAGGAGGTGTAGTTTAAAAATTAAGTTGGCCTGAGTATCCTTTGTGTAAGACTAGAAACATGCGCATGAGGGTACCTAAGCCCTCCGGTTAGAAGCTAGTAAGGTAGGATTTGATAGTGCCTGATAAGCCTACTTGCAGACACTAGCCCTAGAGATTTGCTTGAGTTGTATTTACCACCCCTTGTTGATATTGGAAATCATTGGATTGATTATATTAGGTTTTTATTTTTGGCAATCCCGTTTGACAAAACTCTTTTTAGTTGTAATTGTATTTGATCTTTTATTTTAGTGAGGCTATGAGTTTTAGATGCGAATCCAACTCGAATTGTGCCTATGCAGAGGAGTTTGTGATCTTAATCCTATCATGTTTGCCACTTCGCTGACTATGTCAAGGATTGAGCTGGTCGATCAACTTGCAAGGGTTGAGGGGGCAGCGCCCTTTGGCGAGTCCAAGGCAACGCCTAGGCAGGGTCAAGAGGTAGTGCCCCTAAAGTAAAAAACAAAATTGCAGTCGAAGTTGTTTGTCCGCTCGAGCAGAGATCGCGACCTTTCAGAAGTTTCACTCGTCTACAAAAGTACTGGGAGTTATTTTTTTCCGCTTGAGCGGCCATTCTTGTACTCGAGCGTAGATCCGCTCGAGCGGCCATTCTTGTGCTCGAGCGGAGATCCCAGATCTATTTTCTATAAATATGTGTTTCAGTCCGAATTTAGGGTACGACTTCCAGATCTTGTTCTTGGGTATTAGGGTTTTTATTTGAAACTTTTTTGCTTGTTTTTCTTTGATATCTGTGAGAAAATTAATCATGAATTGAGTAGATCATATCTAAGGGTTTGTTTGTTTGTTTTATTTATTTATTCAATACAAAAGAGAGAGTTGTTTCTTCGGTGGATTCCGTGGAATTTGGGCCTGAAGCTTTGGTGGATTCTAGAGTGGCTCATCATCGTGGATTCAACATCGGCGTTGTGAATTCAAAATCGGCGCTGTGGACTCAATGTTGGGCAAGACAATTCTGAGGTGAAGACCATGGTGGAAGAGGCATATAGGGGTCGGTTCAATTCGGGCGTGAATTCGCTAGGTAATTGAGAGTACACTTGTGTAATTCCTTTTGTTTTCTTAGTGGATTGTTTTGTGGCTTTTGCCCGTAGTTTTTTTATCACAATTGGAGGCGCTCTAATTGTGATTTTTCCACGTTAAAATCATTGTGTTGATTTGTCTTGATTGTTTGATTGGGGTTGTTATTTGTTGTTTAAAATTGATACATAATCACAAATTAATATCTAAAGGATTTCTAGATTTTTCAGATTATATTTTCGAATGAACATTGTGCATGAGATTTTCAAAAAATAAAAATTATTTTGAATATGGCATGGCATATACATTAATCTCATGAGACTGTATAAAATGTATATACTTTGTTAAGAATTCTTTACCGGGCTTTGTGCTCATCCCTAGTGGATTTGTTGTAGGAAAAGCTATTGTGATTTAGCTAAAGTAGAGGCATGGATAATTGTTTTGGGAGCACGAGACTCTTATCACTTGTTGTTGTTATGTTGATAAGCCAATGGCTATATTTGTATGGGTTAGAAAGTCATTTACCTGTAACTAGGCTTAAGCCTCGGAATGTGTAGCCTATGGAGGCATTATTTTGTGTTTTAATTTCTATTGAATCCTCATTACATACTGTCAAATATTGTCTTAGAAATTATAAAAGTATAATGGCATGTGGAACCCTTATATCTCTTGAATTAATGTCATGAATGTATATGTACGAGAAACTTGATGGGAAATTATATGATTCTTAAATTGTAAAGGATTATGATTAATGAGGATTGAGTATTATTGATGACTTCATCTGTGTTATTGTATGTTAATAATTTGGTAAATTATTCTATATCTATAAGTCAATTTATTTAATTAATTTTTTTTATTACGAGTGTTCAGTTGCAATTTTAGACTATAACTTATCTAGCAACAAAAAAAAAAAGAAAAAGAAAGAGTAAATTTGTAGGTTTTTAAACTATTTGAAATTCTTAAATACATACGGGAAAAAATAAACCCATTTCTTTTGTCTTAATCATAACTTTTAAGGGCATCTTGAATATTTGCACAATAAAAAAAACTATGTGACAACTTATTTAATCAAACAAATTCAATTTTTTTTTTGTTTATATATATTTTTGAAAATTTGTACTACAATATTTGGTACTACTTCTACTTACAATTCATGAAACAAAAATAATTTTAAAAAATTAAAAAAGCTTATTCGTGATTACTAACATTGAACTTGTAAGAAGTTGGATCAAATATCCATGGTGCATTGAGTCACCTTTTTTATAGGGTGAAATACAATCCCTGTGATTTGAACAAAGTTTTACTTTAATTTCACCAATTTAAACATTTCATTTCAATTTCGTTTTAATGTGATTTCTTCGTAAATTGTTATTAACATTTTAAGTAAAAAAAAAATAAATTTAAAATTAGAAAGACCTAGAATTCAAATCATCTATCGAAAAGGACTTCAAACAGAATATGGATGGGGCAACCAAAAGAAATCAAGTGGTGGTGGCATCATTCATGACAATCTTGGCAAATGGGGTTTATTTAGAAACATTGGGGTAACATCTAGCATTGCAGCTGAATTATCGGCTCTTTAGAAATGGTTTGAAGCTTGTTCCCAAAAACTTGTCAAATAGTTGGTTATGGTAAAATACTCTTCGACATATCACTAGCTAAGTAACCTTATATGTGATTGCAGGTACTGCGTGAACCGCATAAGAGTGAGGATTAATTATATCTATCAAGAAGTCAACCATTCTGCAAACTTATTAGCTAATCAAGGCAATGATACAGTTGAGGAATTGCATTTTTTTTTTACCACTTTTCATTTTTATTGCAAATCAATTCTATGATAATGGCTTATTTTCAGAAGTAGGTTAGATTGATTTTTACTTTTTTTGAAAAAAAAAAAAACCATATAAAAAAGTAGAGAGGTGAAATGTTTTAAAAAAATTAAAATATCACAAAACAAACTTTTAGCAGAGTTCCCAAAATAGGCAATATCACAGGAGTTTCATACTCTAGAACTTTCTACTTTTATTGTTTCTTAGGAAAAATTAAAAAAAAACTAATGAATGGCTAAAAATTTATAATTATTGATTTACTTTTATTGTTTCTTAGGAAAAATTAAAAAAAAACTAATGAATGGCTAAAAATTTATAATTATTGATTATTTTAGATATGAATACATTTTTGTTATATTAATTCTCCCATTTTATTTTTAGGAAAATAATTTGTGGCTCAAAATGTCTCTCCCTGAACAGCCCGAAAATGGTACACGCTTTCTCTCTATCTTTTCTCTTTTTCCGTATCGCTCTTTCTCATTCCCAGGTATCTCTCTCCTCTCTCAATTTCTTTTCTCTTTCAACTCTTTAAAACCCCTCTCTCACATCCGGAGCTGTGATTCAACTTATCGTCAAAACCCATCTCTCATTCAAAGCTGCGATTCAAGGATTCAAAACTCTCTCACTCTCTCGCTCATTGCTTTTGGAATCGAAGCTGCGATTTAACTCTTCAAAACCAGGTTAGTGCTCCCTCTCTCATCCTTCTCATCTCTATGTTGGGCAAAAAAAACTGACTTAGGTCACTGATCCCTCTCGTCTTTGTGTTGGGTAGACAAATCGGAGTTGACTCCTCTCATACAAACCCGACATCGCAAAACTAGGGTTTTGCTTTGGCAGAAATTTATGTATTATGCCTTAAATTGCTGTTAGAAATTTCTGAACTGACTTCAAGGGACTTATAAATTAGTGTATAGTGGCTTCAATTGTTGTTAGAAAGTTCTATATTGTGCCTGTTTGGCAGAAATTATAATCAGCTTATTTCAACTTTCAGCTTAATTTAAGCTATTTTGATGTGTTTGGTTTAGCTTATAGCTTATAGCTTATAGCTTATAGCTTTTTGGAAGTTAGAAATCAGTTTATTCTTTGAGTGGGGCAGGAGATGCTTTAAGAATAAGTCAAAAATCAACTTATGTTCATAGTTATAAGCTATAAGCTGTTTAGGCATAAGCTATAAGTACTTTCCCACAGCTCTACCAAACAGGGCTATTGTGCCTTCAATTGCTGTTAGAAATTTATATATTGTGCCTTTAATTGCTGTTAGATATTTCTGTTTACTGACTTGAAGGGGTTTACAAATTTTTGAACTCACTTTAGGGGGCTTATAAATTTGTGTATAGTGACTTCAATTACTGTTAGAAATTTCTGTATACTCACTTCTGGGGGTTTACAAATTTCTAAATTGACTTCAGGAGGCTTATAAATTTCTGTATAGTGACTTGAGGGGGTTTACAAATTTCTGAATTGACTTGCATGAATCTGCATTGAGGGAAATTTGATTTGGGCCTTGTAAATTTAGGTTTCTGTTACGTGAATCTGCATTGCATGAATCTGCATTAAGGGAAATTTGATTTGGGGCTTGTAAATTTAGGATTCTTACTTGATTTGGAACTTATAAATTTAGTAATAAAAATAGTAATCTAGAAATAGTAATCTAGAAAATATGAGACCTCCAATTAATTAAAAAAAAAAAAAAAGGAATCCATGATCGAATCTAATGAGCTTCAGAAAAATAGTTAGTCTTCACCGAATAAGTTATTTTTGATTTCAAATAAAGACGACTCGGAGGAAATTGAAATGGCGTAGGTATTGGTTATGCAGATAAAGAAATGGCTTTTTCTTCTACTAACAATAGCAACATTAGATTAAAACCAAGAATGTGTAATTGTGAGAGAACAACTGCCATGTATATCGTACGAACCAATGAGAATGGAAATCAATGGCGTTTGTTGTTTGTGTGCCGATCAAAATATGTAAGTACTAAGCTTTATTCTATGTTAGTATGGATTATACAAATTAATCCTTTACTATTTGGAAATTGGTTTGATTGCTGTGACTAATTGATTTTCATGAATTGTAGAGTAATAAGGCACACTGCAATTACTTCAAATTTGCAGGTGATGATGACAACGACGTTACCTCCATAAGCCGTTCCAATACCAGACCTCGTCAACCTATAACAATAGAAGAATTATACGAGCTAAGGACAACACTTTCTAAAATGGAAAATGAAATGCATGGCCAAGGTAGAAGGCTTCAAAGGATGGAGAAGAAATTGAAGGCGATGATTTATGTCATTGTATTTTGTATGGTTTTGTACTTGATGATGTAAATTAATGACTTGTTAATTTTTGTTAGTTTTGGGATAATCTCATGGCTTGTGGGGCTATGTTGTAATTAAATGAATGTGGGTGGGTATATTTTTGAAGGTGGAAAAGAATATGTTGTTGATGTGGATGATGTATAATATGATTTTCTTAGCTCATTTGGTTTGGAAATATGTTATTTCATTACTAAATCACATAACATTGTTTATATGTAATTGTTATCACCCATACAGAGTTCGTTTGATTTGGCCAACTTTAGGTAGAAGCAGTGTGTCATGACCCAAACCCGCCCCTATAGGTTTAATGTCGTAACCGACCAGTAATCCTTGGATTTCCAAAGGTCTCATATCAGAATAACATATAATTAGGGGTTGCGGAAACAAATATACAAAATATACATAATCCATAGAGTTGTGTAGACATACATGGGATAGAAATTTGAAACCTCATAACATATATACATAAGGTGTCATGTCCACATAAGTCTCACAACACTGTGCAAGTATCATCAAAAGGGATTTAGCCCAGTATACAGATAAACGAAACATAAACGTTCTTAGTATGGTACACATAATAACTTTTGACATGGTCCACAAAACTTGACTTCTATACACGGGAACCTCCCAGGGAGACACGGTAGATGGCTTGACAAAACAAAACTTAGGCCTTCAATTCTGGGCCTAATCACGCGCCTGGTCACCTACATACATAAATAATACAGTGAGTTGGAGCCCAATGAATAATAATAGAGTAAAGGGTTTAAATGAATGATATCCATCTCAAAGTCAGAAATTAGAATTTATATCAAAAACAGATTTATATTCATATTCTTGTTTAAACTCCATACAGAGATCAGGGTTCATGCTTCATCATACATGGTACATCCATTACTGTTATCATGATTGTCAGTTCCACAAGGAACCTCTGGTACCGAGAACTTGTAATATACTTGAGCCACGTGTAGACACCCCATTTTTGACCGACCTTAAGACTTAGATATCACCAACTGAGCGCTCGGTGATGTTGCATATTGTGCTCGTTCTGAGTCTCGGCTGCGAACCTTGCCTCCAGACTTCGGGGCTCTTTTGTGCTTTGCCTCGGTTTGCGAACCAGGTCCTGTTTTCTTTGTTTTCTCTTCCCGAAGGGAGAGAGAGGTCTCGTAGATCATCTCTCAGTGGCCATAGGCTATGTTTCATGGTCGTAGGCCATTTTTCCCGTTTGGAGCCCGGTTTCCGATTTTTCGGAGCCGTCAGCCGTGTGCCTCGGTTCAGGACCGCCTAACCACCTCCGTTTGCTCCGATTTTTGGTATACACCTTATTTCCTCCCTTTTTAGGAACACTGTGGCCCGAGAGACCAACTTCGTGGTCGAATGCCACCTCCGGTTCTTAACAGCTTGTTTTCAGGGCCCCAGGCCGCGCGTTTCGGTCCCAAAAACTCCGTTTTGCATCCGTTTTGGTTCATTTTTTGTGGAGACCTTATTTTCATTGTTAGAAAGTTTGTAGGAGGGTGGGAGGCTAGCAATTTTTCTGAAAAGCTAGTTTTATTTCTTCATCGCTCTCCGTCGCCCGTTTTCCTCACTAGAAAGCTAATGTTGACCACTCCCAGGCCACTTTCTTTAGCCCTAAACCCCATATTTGTGTTGTACACACCTGGGAGGCCACCAATATGAATAGGCCTGCCAGTAATTGTCTCTGACCCTTTTGATCCCCTCTAAAAAGTTGGCTTTTCTCTCTTCTAGTTCACATTTTCTAGGTTTTGACCACATATTTGTGTTGTGCACACATTGGAGGCCACCTTATTGGGGTGGCCGGCCAGCAATTTTGATTGACCCTTTTGACCCTTGGCCGGCTGGCCAGGGGGAGTGGCCGGCTGGCCACCTGAACCTTTTGAACCTGGCCGGCCATGATCCTCTCTCCAAGTGTATTCTAGCTGTGCCAGCTGTTTTCCCCCAGATCCTGTATCCGAGGGGCTGCCTTTTGGGGGGAAATTTGAATTTGTTTTTCCCCTCCTTTCCTTGGCCTCTCTCCCTCTTTAAAACCAGCACTCTCCTCCATTTCTAAGGGTTGACAAATGTTAATCATATTATTTAATTTTGATGATGTCTAAAATATATTAGTTAATATACATATTATTTGACACAAATTATTATCTTTTTAAAATATATATATTTGTTAAATATTATTTAAATAAAATAATATTATCTTTTTAAAATATCCCTAAGGTTCTCGCACCCTTTACACTACACCTCTAAGCCTACAACCTCCATACTCCATTCCAGCAACTTGAGGCTATTTTTCAGAGCTTAGGAACACCATTTCTCAGACCAAAAGCTGCTGAAAATTTGAACTACAAGGGTGAGCCTCATTTCTCTCTCTTTTTGTTCTATTTTGCACGCAATCTTATCCTTTGTTGCTTACATTTTTGGGCTCTGACCTGAACTGTAATAGTCATATTTTGAGCTCCTTTTCATATTTGATCAAGGACCTCTTGCTGTTTGAGGTCTCCTACTGTCACTTGCCTCTTTATCTCTCTTTTAGGCCTATTTTTGCATGTTATTTTAGTCTTATTTGTGAGCTGTTTTGGACTTTTTCATAAACTGTAAAATGTCTTTTTTTGAGCCCCCCTTCAACTTTGTTGAAGGGCTCTCCTCTGTTTGAGGCCATCTGCTACCACTTGTCTCTTTATCCTTTTCTTAAGCCTTTTTCTTGCATGTTGTTTTAGTCTCACTTGTGTTTATTTTTGAGACTTAATATAAACTGTAAAGTGCCTTTTTTTGAGCCCCTCTTCAACTTTGTTGAAAGGCTCTCCTCTGTTTGAGGCCAGCTTCTACCACTTGTCTCTTTATCCCTCTCTTAGGCCTTTTTCTTGCATGTTGTTTTAGCCTCACTTGTGTTTATTTTAGAGACTTGATATAAACTGTCCTTTTCTTAGGCCTTTTTCTTGCATGTTGTTTTAGTCTCACTTGTGTTTATTTTCGAGACTTTATATAAACTGTAAAGTGTCTTTTTTTGGGCTCCTCTTCAACTTTGTTGAAGGGCTCTTTGCTATTTGGGGCCAGCTTCTGTCCCTTGTCTCTAATCTCTCTTTTAGGGCCATTTTTGCATAATAGATTAGCCCTATTTGTGTTCACTTTTGAGATTTGATATAAACTGAAAAAAGTCTCCTTTTGACATCATATTCATGTTTTATTAAGGGTATTTTCTTGTTTGAGGTCATATGCTTCCTTGTATGCTTGATTGTCCCATATTTTGAGCCTTACCCCTAAGCTCTTGTTGCATGCTTGGTTTGGCCTTCTAGCCACTGAAATCCAGTGGATTTTCAGTAGCTAGAACACTATTTTGAGCCTCCAAATCAGAGGGGGGTGACCCCCTCTTACCTTGACTTGTTTGGTGGTCATTTTTGGCCTTCCAAAGAAACCCTATCTTGCATGCTTTGAAGTCACTTTCCAAGGTCAATTTGTTGAGTTCTAAGACTACCATATTTGATTTTCATAGTTGCTTATGCCATGCTAAGTGTCCACTTTGTATGTGCTTAATAATCCATTGCACGGCCCTCTAAAGGAGCTCATCATTTTTGCATGTATTGGTTGCATCTCCATGGTTATTTGGGCATATTTTCACATATTTTATTCACTGAATTTTGCTGGTTTGGTAAGATTCCATGTGCATCCTATGCTTGCCATATAACTCATGTTTGCTAGTCAAAGTTGCATGCTACTTTAGTCCATCTTGCTAGCATCTTTTGGCCATGCTTTGAACTGGAAATGTTCATATTTTGGGACTTCCTTGGCTCTGTCTTTAGACTTCATGATCAAATAATGCACGCTTTGTATATCTATAAGTCATTCCATGTGCCTAGTTTCGAGTTTCGGGGTTCATCTCATGCATCGGGTGCCATTTTTCCATGTTTCGGGACCATTTTGCATCACATTTTAGTGCTGGAAATTACATGCTTGTATGCCATATTTCATGCCTTGCCATGCCTTGTTAGAGTTGCATACTATGCCTTAGGTTCGGTCCTCGGTTTGCGTGCATGTGTGCACGCATTTCGATAGTCCCATTTTCACCTAATGGCTACTGATGTGAGTGTGGCTGAGATCCACTCATGTTGATGTAAGCCCATCATACATTGTGTATGCCGTTTCATTTCATAGCATTGTGTATGCTAGGTTGTATGTTAGAGCATCGTGTATGTCTCGCTACATCGTGCATTGTGTATGCCATCTCATAGCATTGCGTATGCTAGGTTGCATGTTAGGATTGCATTCATGCATGTCATGCATATTGCATTGTGCTTGGGATAGGAGTTAGCCCTAGCACGGGAAACGAGGGGCGTTTCGTACTCCGAGTGACGGAACGTGTCTCAATTCCCAGTCGCCGACACTCCGGATTACCCATGATGGAGTTTAGCCCTTGTTGTGTTTTTATGTGCATTCATTTCATATTAAGTCATGCAACTCGACTCCTCAGCCATCATGCATCGAGATGTGTGATTGGTGGCACGAGGATCGAGGACTACACTCTCTGAAGAGTAGTCAAGCACACATATGTGAAAATATATTGCCATGCCCCTTTCTTGCTCTCTGTTGCAGCAAATCAAAAACCGGCAGTCTTTTGGAGCTTCGCGCAATATTTCGAGCTTAATTGTAAACAGAGGCAAACTGGGAAATCGTAGTGGATTTTTGCCCAAAGGCGACTCGAGCATGCATCATCCATCATTTGGAACAGAGCCGAGACGGTCCATAGATTTGTGTGCCAGTTTATTGCTTTCCTAGCTTAATTTGTTAATTAATTAGGATTTTGTACTTATTCAGACTGTAGTTATTATTCAGACTGTATTATTCTTTCGGACCCTCCGAGCGAGGGCACAATTGTAATAAGTGTGCGTGCGTGTGATGTATGTCTTCCAACTCCACGTCTTTTTCCCTTTTATTTATCAGTTTATGATGGTTAGATTAGGGCATATTTCAATTAGCATACAGTATGATAGCATGTTTGCATTCATTCATCTGTTGTGCATGCACCGGGGTCGGCGCATCATACTAACTACATTCGTATTTCAATTCCAACTTGAACACATGTTAGTTGTAGTATTCCATATGCCATGTTTAGAATAGCCGAGCCTATTATAGTCGCATTTTGCATGTGTTGCATTAGG